GAACAGGGCAAGCTTATCGTCGGCGTAGGAAGGGCCGGGAAGGATCAGTTTTTCACAATTTCACGGCCCATGCAAAGACAGCCCTGGCGAAGAAGAATGTCACGAAAGTGACGGGTGGCATTGTCGCAGCCACGTGGCCACGGAGGACAGCTCGCCCACAGCCCTTCCGAAATTGGATCCACGTCTTCACAATGCGATGCAAGCACCACCTGCCTTATAATAATGTTCTCGCCATCGCTTTGCCCCTTGGACTGTAACAGCTATCATCGTCGAGTTGCATTCGAAACACCCCCTGCTGCTACGGCCTGAAGACTGTCTCGTCTCCGGCCTTCATATATCGTCACTTGCGCAAAGCTTCCCAGCGAGAGCACGGCAAGACCGTGGCAAAGGCGCGGTTCCTTATCTACTTTCCCAGCCCGATCGACCCTTTCGAAGCTTTTCTTCGGTTTTCGTTACTACTGCTTACCTCCATTGACTACACGAACAATGGGCTGGCGCAGGACTCGGAGGAAGCTATGGAGCAGGTCCAAGAACGCCGCTTACGCTCTGGAGCAGGCTCTCGACATCTTCAATCGTGCCGCCGTCTATCCCCCCGTGCCAGGCTTGCAGGCCGGTGTCAGCTGTCTCTTGGCGGTGTTTGGCAGGATCCAGGCATGTGTCCCGTATGGTCCTCATGAGTGCCAATTCTCAATTTCAGGCTAGATCTCGCGCGCGAATGCCGAATCTATCAGGGAGCTAACCAGGAACATGAACGATTTGACCGAGACGGTGAACAAGTACACAGAACTCAACGGACAGAGTATATCACCCCAGGTGGAATTGGCGGTCAACGAAGTGCTCTCATGAGTGTGTTGTTTATGGTATTGTTCATAAATGCTCATATAGCGCAGATCGTGGGATGCGATCAATGACGAGGCTGTGAAGATCGAGTTGCGGCGCAAACTGCTGAGGGTAATGGATAACAACAAGGATCGTGGAGGTAGAAGAGTCGCCGGATTCTTGCAAGATCTATCCCAATCGATCAAGGAATTCATGGTATGGAACACTTGTCCTTTACTTGGAAAATTTGCAGGCCATAGACTGACCCACGGTCTTCGCTAGCGCTTGCTTCCCCGTCTGATAGGTGTGTCTAAGACAGTCATTATCTTGACATATTACATGGATATCCGCTCACACTACTCCTCCAGATAGCGAATTGTTTCACCGCCATTGGGAGCGGCTTCCCACCGAGCTGCATGACTACATCTACGGCCTCCTGCACAGCCCCGGCCACAAAACCGGCTTGTCAGCACTGTCCCTAGTCTCGCATACCTGGTCCCAACGCTTTCGTCTGTTGTAGGAATCTTCGCGCAGGCGGGGGATTCACGAATAATGTACGATAAATTATCGAAATATTACACCGTGTTCTTTTATAGCTATAGTATTTCCTAATCTAATCATAACCAATGAAATGTCCTTACAAAGGTGAGACTAGGTACAAACGAGTCGGGGTGTCAAACGGGCGCCAGCGTAGAGTGCTCTGGGCGTGTCACATCTAAATAAAGAAACCATGACGCGGAGCGCGTCATGTCAGAGAGCATGGGACTACGAAGCGCATCAGCGCATTGTCAAATCATCGGGTACGCGCCTCAGATACAACAACATCGTCCTCGCCTCTTTACCCAGCTTAGGCTGATAACTGAGGGAGACGATCGCACGCTATACGGCATAGTGCGGTCCCCGCTGTCGGCCTGGCTTGCGGAGCACATCGCCGTCCTGCATTTCTTCAAGATTGGCCCTCGTGGTTATCCACTCTGGACGGCTCTCCTCCGCCTCCTCCCCGCGTGCCGCGACATCTCGCATCGTTTCGGTGTCGAGCCCATCCGCGTGTCGCTGTCGCACAGCGCAGGTCTGAAGAGCTCGTTGCGGAGCATCACCTCCTTGACACTCAGAAATTGCAACTTCCCGTCATTGCAAATCCTGCTCCGCATACTAGCCGACATCACCTACCTGAAAAATGTTTATTTCAGCGATGTCAAATGGTCGGGTGACGGACTCACAACAGCTGACGCCGCGAGCAATGTCTGCACGGGTGCCTTCAGCCATGTCTGCTCAGTCAGGATGTACGACTGCACGAACAACATGGTAGTGGCCGCATGGATCTTGGCGGCCGCGAGCACACGACACTCGTTCACCCGACGTCGGACGGCAGGGCCAGCAGTCCCTGCGGAGACATGGGCCATCATCGAGCTCATCCAGACGTTCTTCAAGGACGACGACAAGTTCCTGATTGTAGGTTTTGATGTCAAGGAGGCGATGGCAGGTGAGCTGGACTGGTCCCTCTACCAGATTGTTGTACTCACCGGATGGTCCAAGATACTTACAGATTTGTTGGTTCCCTGCCTTTCGCATACATCTCAGTCCGGGTTGTCAAGTCTGCGCCTACCGCCGGCACCAATGAGGCCTGGTCTGTCTGCCAAATCGTTCTCGCTGCCCGAAACGAAATGTTTTCGGAATCGCACCAGTATTTCCACTCTTGCGATTGGTCCGCGCTCGCTTCCCTTCTGCCTGCGTTTCCACAATTACAACAGTTCCAAGTCCTCTGCGGGGAGGAGCATTCAGAAGAGGACTTCCGCGCACTCTCTGACAAGGTTGCAGAGGCCATGAACAGCCACACGTATCTGCTTGTCGTGCTTCAACATGATCCTGACCTGCCAGGCGGGAGATACTTGCAGCCTGCGCTGTTTGATCTAACCGAGGCGGATGTGGAGAAAGCTCGGCAGCCTGAGGAAAAGGTGAGGACTGGAAAGCAGAGTTACTTGATACCTAGCTAAGCAGTCTTTCCGCACAGAGACGACGAGTCAAGGAGAGAGAAGAGAGAGAAAAAAGGAGGCGCCCACACACGACACACAACCCCAACATCAAGAGCGAAATGACTTGACCAACGTTTACTTATCATATGTCCAGCGTCCTTGTCTATTCTTGTTTGACCATCGTTATCATAATTTCACGGTCGCGTATATGCTGTCTCGCCTTCATTCTCATGCAACCCTTGCGCTTGTATGGCCTAGTAGATTCAATATC